TTTTAAAATGGAGGTAGTACGTATATTTACTATAGTCTATACATATCAATGTAGTTATGGATGTATATGTTTTCATCATTTGGATCATTTGTCTCTAGTATTATTATTCAGGCTTGCGTGTCACGGACGTGATTGTTGACCAAACATGGACCCTAAATGCCAATTTTGTTACATTTTTGTATTTATTTCAAAGAATGATTTTMGATCGAGTTTACTCTTTTCTCTAGACTTTGAGATTGGTGGCCCTTCCGTCCTCTTTTTAAAAGTAAATATATATTTATTTGTTTAATCTTATAGAACTAATTATAAGTTAAAACTCGGTCAAGTCGGGCAAAACAATTAGTCTTTCCTATATATGAACGGTTTGAATAAGTTAAAACGATTCTCAGAACCTATTTGCCGTTGTAAAAAACCACCACCCTCATATTCTCGAAATCGCTCTAGCCGCCTTTGTGCGATTTTGCTCTAGTTTCTTCTCCATTGATTTCGGGCTTGACTGGTGTCGGTGGCTCCGTTAGCACCGGCACCGGTTCTCTTGTTGATTTTCCTCGTTTTTTCGTTCTACTTTTAGGTTATTCAGCCTTAAAGAGAGATTTTTCTTTTTATGGCTTGAGATCTGAGCCGGTTTGTGATGTCCCGGTGTTGGGTCGGATGAATCCGGGCTTGTGGTGGTGGCTTGTGGTGAAGATTTCAGTGTACCTCTAAAGCGTTGGTGTGCGGGTTGTATACATGCGAGAACTCCATTCGTCTTCCGATTGACCTCTTCCTTGTCTGTGCTCGGATAGCCGGTGTGATGGATCTCTTCCGTCGCAGGTCGTTTCTCTCTTTTGTGGTCTGATTTTTGGTTGTCAGTTTTATGAGTTTATGTGGTTTTTGGATGATTTGCGAGTGGTTTTTTCCTAGTTGAAGTTTCGGTGCTGGTCATTTGCTATGGTCTTCGTGTTGAGACAAGTTCCAATGGTACAAATCTTTGGATTTGTAGGCATTTCGGTTTAGTTGCGTATGTTCTCGATTTTGTGGTGGATTTGTGATTGGCTCTATTTTGGTTTGTAGCTTCGGTTTTAGTCATGGGTTAAGGTCTTTGTGGTTAGGCAAGAGTCATTTGTACTTGTCTTTGGATGTTTTGGCTTTGTGTCTTTGGTACAACAGTTATAGGCTTCACTTTTCGCCTTCCGGATGGCTTGATCCTTTAACTTAGTGAAGGAGGTTTTCGGTTGGAGTTTGGGGAGTGTTGCGGTGTTTGGATGAGTTTTCTTGGACGCATGATTCGCTTCCAACCTTTGGTTTTGTGGTTGTTTTAACTCTGATCTGGTTCTGTTTCGGTGGGATTTTTAGTGTGGGATGGAGAGTTGGAGTACGTGGAATCGGTAGTGCCCAATTACACTGGAATTTGGAGGCCTCTTGAGGGTGCGGCATAGCTGCTCTCGCTACGGTCGCGTGCTTGTCTTCAGCTCTAGTTCCAGTGGTAAGCTTTTGCCTCAAATTTCCGTGACTAAAGCTTGTGATGAAAGAGATCAATGGTTGGAAGCGCAAGTAGTTGAAGACTCGCTACAACTTGTTTGTTTAACTTGCATTCTGTTTTCGATGTAATTTGTAGTAAAGGATCGGTCTTTAGATCCTATAGTCATCACTGTCAAATGTTTTGATCCTTGATCTCCTTTTTGGGATCTGGTTGATCATCTTGACAAATTAAAAAACCATAGGGCTAGCAAATTAGAAAGAAAAATAAAACGCTGATGTTGGTTTAGTCCAATTCTTGCTGCCAATTTGTATATATCAACCATCTGCGTAATAAAAGCATTTATAATGGTGGAGTATCTTCAAAAAGTTCTAATTTATATATTAACAATATTTTAATAATATTCAATTATTGAATTAAATTTTGATATCTAAAAAATAATTGAACTAATGAAAAACTTAGACCATCCCCAACATAGTCTCTCACCAAGTTTCTAAACATTAACAAAATAAAAAAATGAATAAAGGAAGAGAGAAAAGAAGAATCGATTTTTAACCAAGAAACTCCAAGAACTTTTTTGAGAAACTCTTCTTCCAAGTGTGTTGTTTTAGTTAGTACA